GAATATCCGGTTCTCCGAGTGTTTGGGATTCCAGGGCTGGTCCATGATCAGTTCAACCCCTGGTCCCCATCCTCACGCTCTCCCACCAGAGACTCCAGTCAACTCTGCTGTGTAGCCTCTTTCTGTATTCAAGACGTGATCGGCTAAGTGTGTAATCCAGCCCCTGGGAAGGCCTGTTGTTATTTTAAACATTTTATAGAAACTGTTTACAATACCTAGCAGCACTCTGGCAGCAGGTGGTCTTGATGCACCGGAAAAACAAACATATTATTTTTGCCTCTGTAGTTTGATTTTTTTCCTCTTATTTTTAGTTGACATGTAATAATTGTATGAAATATTGCCTCTGTAGTTTTAAAACATAATATTTAGCTGTTCCTCAGGGCCCTGCAGTGGGAGGTTTTCACAGGATCACCCCAGCTGCACAGGCATCTGGTGATCATGTGGTCCTTGCCGATGAGAAAGTCTTACCTCTCCCAGTGAGCAGTGGGCAGGCACTGGCCTAGAGAAATGCATGCACTTTAGAGCATGCAGTTACTCGAGAGCTATAAAAATGAGCACAGAATTTCTATCACTCATTATGCCAAAATAAACATCACCTATTTTTGTACCAAAACAATGCTTAAAAGTGTTTATAAGCATGATCTGATATTTAGCATATATTGTGTTAATCAAAAGTATAAACTTTTTTTTTTTTTTTTTAGCAGAGTAAAAACATGGAGGGTATATACAAACTCATAAAGGAATTGTTGCCAAACCATCGGAAGAGGTACCAAATAACACAGGTCAGAGAACACTAAACAAAGGGAAGAAGGGATGGGATGAAGCAGAATAAAACATTTTGAAGGTGTTAGAGTAAAACAGAAGCCTGGGGAATAAGTCTTACCCAGCTGGGAAATGTGTGTTGTGCCTGGGAATATTTCCTGAAATGTGGTCACCACCCTCAAACCAAACACTGCTCTCATCCCACTGACATGAAAATGCCTTTCATATGCATCGGTATCAACAAATCACAGAGACAGGCTCTGGGTAGACTTTTGCTGATGCATTTTGAAATCTAAATTTCATCACACACAATATCTGCTCCTCTCTCACGATTTCCATCATGATACTCATTACATTATAGGTCTCTGCATTCACAAAGCCCAGATTCAAATCCTGGCTCCAAATTCCACAGCTATGTGGCATTGGATAAGTTGATTAAAATGGAAATAACAATGGTACCTACTTCTCTGAGTTGTTAAGAGGACATAGTTAATATACATAAAGTGGTTAGAACAAGTGCTTGGCACTGTTTTCATTATTATAAGTAGCTTGGAGGATAAGATCACCCAGTATGATTACAATTATTGCTAAATAAATAAATAAGCTGCATTAATATATCATTAGCAATTATTAAGCTTCCTAGAACAGAATGTGTTATATAAAGTACAACTAGTTTAATGAGAACGAACATAAGGATAATGATTTACTGACAGGATTTTGAGGTTGTTTACTATTTCTTAGTTAAACATAAAATACTTTATGGCATCATCCAAAGATAAAAGCAATAATTTTTCCACTACTTGGAAGTCTGCAAATGTATCATTCTTCCACTAAAAAGTCTTTTTCCCATCAACTTTTTTTTTAGAGACAAGGTCTAACTCTGCTTCCCAGGCTGGAGTACAGTGGCACGATCATAGCTTACTGCAGCCTCAAATTCCTAGGCTCAAGCGATCCTCCTGCCTCAACCTCCCAAGTAGCTAGGAGTACAGGTACATGCCATCACACTGGCTAATTTTTTTTCCCCATAGCAATAGAGTCTCGCTATTATTGCTCAGGCTGATCTCAAACTCTCGGTCTCAAATGATCCTCCCACCTCGGCCCTCCAAAGTGCTAGGATTACAGGCATGAGCCTCCAACAGCTCTTGAAGGTTCGTGTAAATGAAAGTGGATTCTGTCTATAAAATTTAAATAATATTGCCTTTTATATTTTTTTGACATTGCAAGTTACTTTAAGTTTATGCCTTGTTTCATTATTTGCTCTCCTATATCTCTTCTTTTCTGACTTGTTTTCAATTTGGAATGCCATAAATTTAGCCTTAACAAACCAGCTTCAGAGTCATATGGGAAAGTAGGGAGTACACACACTGTTTTGAAGTTATTTTTCATTACTCAGAGAATTCCAAATATGGACATTCCTGAGTCTTCTGTACTGTAGCTACTCAAGGAAAAACATTATGTTCAGTTTTCCTTAATACCTTGCTTAGCTTCTAAACTGCATCACACAAAAATACCTAGGGTTCCTTGTTCCTTAGTACATAGAATTTTATTTTCTATCAAAACGAAAATCCTTTGTTTTATTAAATTCTGTACCAATTTTATCCTGTGTGGAAAAGAAAACAAGCAATAGTAATAGATACAGAACTTGTTCAAACTTAAAACAGCCTCCCACTCGCTTCCCACTTTTACCCTTCTAAATCATTTTTCAATCATCCCGGACAAAACAACAGTAAGAAGTAGCAGTCATCCTCACTATAAATGTCCTTACGTATCAGTAGCCCATTAACATATTTTATTTAGCTGACACATTTTTAAATGTGAGTTATCATTTTAAAGTCTGGACATTTGATATAAAAATTTGGATTTTTCTGTTTCTTTTTAAAAGTCACAACTTCCCTCATTTGTAGGACCACATTCTCAATGGGGCAAATGGCTATCTGGAGCTGAACAGCTGCTCCCCTTCAAGGCAGTGTGAGTTTCCAATGCCACTCAGCATGGGGGGAAGGGGTGCTCGTCACGCCCATTGATGTTACCCCCTAATCCCTGGAGGAATCTGAGATTGCAACTTCTGTTCTCCACCCTGAAGTGCTTTTCCTAGTTTCCTCCAAGGATGAAGTGCCATCATGATTCCAGCATTTTAAATCCACATGCTTTGATCCAACAGTTCTACTCCTGAAGAAACTATGGAAGAGCAGACACATACAAATGGGTGTCCACTGTAGCATTGCTTCTCATAGCAAATCAGCCTATCAGTAGGGACTGGCTGAAGAAATAAGTGATGTCAAATCCCTGCAAGAAAACACCAGAAAGTTCCCAAAAGCAACAGGGTAAATCTAAGCATATCGAAACAGGAATATGTCCAAAATATATTCAGTAGAAAAAAGCAAAGTATGTAATCTATGATCTGATCTATAGAGAAAATGAATAGATATATTTAATATATGCACGCAGTTCAAAATTTTAGAAGAAGAGATAAGCAACCTTTTTAACCATATTACTTTTATACTTAAAAGGAAGCACTATGAACAGGGATATTTCAAATCATTTCATAATAATTATCATCACATCTTCATGTTATTTATTTGGTTGCCTGTCTTGGTAACAGAGTTCCTCCACAGTCAAGCTTGACTCCATTTCTTGGCAAGGAGAAGAAAAAGGCTTCTGGATGGCCCCTCACACCGGGCCCAAAGACCAGCCCAGAAAAGACACAAAGGGCTTCTGTAGAAGCTGTGCTCACTGAGACTGCTTTGGAGCTCATGTTGCCTCCCTTGCTCTCTTTTGAAAAGTAGAGAGAAGCAGAGCAGAAAGGCAGGCACTCCTCCAGGAAGAGCTCTCAGGCCCAGCTACAAACGCCTTCTCAAGCCCCTTTCACATTTTCATGGGGCCCTAGTATCAGAGAGAAATAGAGAAATATATATAGATAGAAAGAGAGAGAGAGAGATGCTATACATTATTTCATTATTTCCCTGTTGCTGTTACTGTTTTGCCAGGATTGGGAAAAAAGAGGAAGAAAAGAAAAGAACTAGTTCCATTTATATCAGCAGAAACTCTAATTGGTCAACACAATACAGTAGTGTAAGAATTTGCTCTTCCCATTAAAGGAAAAACAAGGCCACGCATTCCACGTGCTCAAGAAGGACAGCCAGGCAGTGCTATTCTCGGCAGGGCTTGGTCACTAGAGGGATGCTACGCATCAACAGCCACTGTGGGACTCTCTAGCCCACCCTGCCCTGGGCCTCAAGGACCAGAGGCAACCATCAGCCCTTCCCCACCCTGTGATTTCCCAAGGCATCTATCCCGTCAAAGGCATCCAAGTCGCACCAGAATAAAAGGATCAAGATACACAGCACTTCTAGAAGTTATCACCTCCTGCTAAAATATGTGTTTTTGGGGAAAATAGTTAGCAATTACTTAGAAAAAATAAAGGAACTTAGATAGAGCTAGAAGAGCCTCATGGGGCCATCTTCCCCACTACATGCACCAGTACTTTTTCCAGAGCCAGAGCCTGGGGTTTTGTCTCCCTGCTCTTCTCCATTACTATCAAGTACAAAGAAGCACATAGTGTGTATCCAACACAGGCATCCATTCAGAGCTAAATGATCAACACAGAAGCCAGAAAACCTATGCGGCATGATTTGGAAAATGATTTCTGTATTCTACATAGTACTCTAATACTACTTCCGAAAGAAAGGGAAAAAAACACCATCCTCTTTGCTGTTTTCTCTTAACTTAGACAGTGCTCTCCTTTTTATATTCTAGTGTTCCCATACCCATAACAGATTTAGAGTCATTACGAGGGTTCAAGCCTTATGACAAGAATGATCTTAAATATGGTGGATCCACTAATTCAGAATTAGTGATTACACAAAGCACTCTCCACACTTCGGTCTGAATCATTTAACTGCAGCTTGCTAAACAACTGGAAGGATTAGAGATGGACTGTTTAAGCCATTTAAGACGCTAAACCATCTTCACACTCCTCGACAGTATGGCCTTGCGTGTAATTTGAACCATTCAGGTACGGATTAGAAATGTGTCTTATCTGTATGTGAAGCAGGTCAATCAAGACTAGCTATAATTAGCAACTAGTGATAATAGATGCTGCTGAAGTATCTGCCCTTCACTTCAAGTATCTCATCCTTCATTCTTTTTGTTACTTCAAGCTGGTCTTCTCCGGAATTGCTATTTTTCGGTATACGGCGGCGCCATCTGCACACAGCGGGATGTCAAATGGTGCTTACCTCTGAGTCTTTGGACTGCTGATTGCGAATGACTATCAAATTGTACAGGATTCTGTCGTCATCTGCCTCCGTGTGGGACACGTCATGGGGGATGCTCCATAAATTCTTTTCATCATCTCTTGCCAGAGTCGCTCCGAATGAGGAATACAGATTGCCATCACTATGGCATAAAAAAAGGGAGGATGTGGGATTTTTGTTATAAAATGTTATATAACATAGGTATGCAACATACAATATAAATAAAAAATATATACTGTAATCTATAAATACATGTTAATATCAGAGAGGTCTGAATTAACTTTAATAATTAAGCACACTACAATAGAGCGGTGAAAATAAACCAAAAATAAATCAATAAACAAGTCACTTTAAAAAGAGCAGAGAACACAGGTACCTAGGCACCTGGGCAGAGGTAATTGCTACTGTGAAGCATAAAATTCAGCACTGAGTTCCCCAGCAGCCAAGACATAACAAGAAATCCAATGGGGAACAGAATTCTTGTGTGTTTAAAAGAAGAAAACCACGTGAAGAAAAGAACTTTTTACTGGCTCTGAGTTCAAGGTAGCACAGCAAACTTAGAGGACAATGATACAAAATATCTATCAAATTTCTTACACCAAGAAAATTAAGTAAAAATATGCATATCCAAATGCTTTCAATAAACAATGCAAGATGCTGAGTATGAATTTCAGTGGTCCCGTTTTGTACATCTGTTTTATGATTTATCCTTCATAAGGTAGTAGCTGTGTCTAGGCTCATGGAGGGGGTCTGTGACAGGGGAGCACATCTAGGACATGCCTGCACACGGCCCCAGACAGCTTCCGTGGGAAGGGCAGGCAGGGCCACGCTGGGGCTGTTTACTTCTAATAATATGTATGAAGCATTGACTACACGGTAATCACAGGGCTCAATAAAACTGTGAGCAAAACAGACGCGAGTCCTGTCCTTGGACCTTACTCGAGTCTCATATGGGAAACAGAGTAATGAGTGATCACTGACTGCATAATAAAAACCGAGGTAAGCGCCATAGGGGCGGAGCTCAGGGAGCAGCAAGAGCACATGCAAGATGCTGACAGAAAGTCCTAGAGGAGGTGGGCATCAGAGAGGGGCTGTGACGAGGAGGTGCTTCAGCCTTAAGTTGAAAGACGGGAACGGAGTTGCAGGCAAAGGGAACGGCGCGTTTAAAGGCCAGGGTGGGATGAAACGGGGTTGTGCCACTGGGCACCGGCCAGAGCCCGGCAGGGAAGCTGGGGCGGTAGCTCGGGGCTAGACACGCACGGCTTTGTGGGCCGTGTTTCCTAACACTCTTCTATTGTGGTCTGTGTTCCTACACGCACGGTGAGACTGGGAAGGGTCTTAAGCAGGACTGTGAGGTGACATGAACGGTGGTATGTCTTTAAAAGGCTAACATCTGGCTAAAGTGTGGAGAATGCATCACACGGAGCAAGCGTAGATTTGGGAGACTCATTAAATCATCTATTCTCACTCCTGCTCTGCCACCCGATTGGGGCACCAGCCAATTTGGTTTAAAACTTTGGACCCTTCAGGCAGACAGACGAGGACAAAAAAAAAAAAGCCTGCAGCAAGCAGCCTGAGGAGAAACAGCGTGGGCACCTCCATGTATCCCCGACCACGAAGCGCGTGTAGAGAGAATTCGTGCAAAGGCCCTGAGGTCTGGGCCGGAGAAGCCCTGGGAGGAGGGAGGGAGGAAGAGGCTGCAAGTAGGGAGCTTCTCTTTCTCTCCTTCCCCCACATACTGGTTCCTAAAAGGTTCTAAAGAAAGCGAGAGTGGCTGTTTTGCCCCTGGCCACCATCTGCTGCTGATGAATATTTTATGAACTTCAGGCATTTGAGAAGTGGCTCTGATGTTACATGCTAAGCAGAAGCTGCTTTTACTCGTGAACAGTAGAGTGAGAAAAGTCTCAGATTTCACCGCTAATCCCACCCAGGGGCACAAGACCCAGTGGATCTGGAGTCTTTAATTTCAATGTGATCTATAGCAAAAAGGAGACTTAAGGCTCACCTCTCTGCCTGGGGACATGGTTGCAAAGCGCTAGTCGGCATCATAGCTATTCACCAAGAGGTCCCAGGATTCCTCACTGCCAACAAGGGCTGCATGGGAAAGATTTCGAGAGACCCCACTAAATGCTGTACACACAGCTAGGCTCCTGGCACTCACAGCTCCTGTGGCTTTACTGCCACCCCATAGGCTGCGTGTCAGCTTAAGACAGAAGCTCTGAAAAATCTCCAGTAAACAGTAACCCAAGGTCTGGGAAAACAGACCTCAAGAGGTTGTTCCAGCCCCTTGACTGCTCGAGTCCTCTTTGTCTGACTCTCCACTACAGCCCCCTGGATTCCAGACCTTCCTCTTCCTCCCTCATTGGAAACGTCCCTAGGTAAAAGCAAGTGAGCTCATGACTCCTTCAGCATCAGAGATGCACCCTACCTCAGCACGAGGGACGAAGAGCACAGCGCAGCCCTCTCTGGCTCACACCCCTCTCTGACCTGATCCTACCCTCTCGGCTTCCCACCCTCAGGGCTGAGGCAGAGCCCTGTGCGATCCTGTCCCATCATCTGAACTCTGCTCCCACAGCTTGCAGAGGGTCCTGACAGGCGCCCTGTGAGGCAGGCGGGGCAGCCATGGCTTTTATCTTGTCCAGCTGAGCAAACGCTGGGCTCAGGAAGATGAGCCCTTGGTCTCCTCCCTGCTTACACTCACTCCTGGTTGTTTCATCCAGTCTCATGTCTTTAAGTGTCATCTACATGAGGAAGATTCCCAAACCCATACCTGTCTCCCTGGCTCAGACTTCTCTCCCAAATTTCAGACTTGCCATCTCCACTTGGATGTCTCACAGACCACGCAAGCTCTAGGTGGTCCCAACTGAGCCCTTGATCTTCCCACTAACGCCAACACCAGCAGGCTCCCCGCTCAGATGATGGCCATGCCACCCCCCTCCCACGGCTCAGGCCAAGACCCTGGAAGTCACCCCCAACTCCCTCCCCATGCACCCTATCCATCAGAAAATCCTATCAGCTCTACGTTCTAAACATACCCACCTCTACCACCACACCCAGAGCCAAGGTTTCTCATGTCTTACTCAAGAATTCCTGCAAATTTTTTTCACTCATCTACTTCTTTCTCCTGTTGCCTCCCACCAACTCTATTCTTAACACAGCAGCCAAAGCGGTTCTTTTAATGTGTAAATCAGATCATGTCATCCATCAGCTCAAAACCCTCCAGTGGCTCCCATTTGACCTCCAGTACAAGTCAAAGTCCTGCAGTGGTCCACAGGCTGGCCATGACACCTCGAGCTCTCTGGCCTCTCTGCTGTTCCCTGAGTCCAGCAGTCTCACTGTGACCTCAGAGTGTGACCCCTGCACCAGCTGACCCATCTGTTTATAATGCTTTTCTCCAGACACTTATTTGCCTCACTCCTTCCCCGCCTTCAAATCTTTCTTTAAACACCACCTCCTCACCAAGGCCTGCCCTAATCTACTTAAAATTGCAAACATGCCCCCTTCCCTGCTCTACCTGTTCTGTTTCCTATACAGCCACTAATCTCCTAGTTTACTTACTATGTTTACTGTTTATTGTGCTCCCAGCACCACCACTAGAATAGAAGCCCCTCGAGGACAGGGATCTGTATCTATTGTGCTCAGTGATGTATTTCAAGGACTTAGAGGAGCGCCTGGCACATAGTGAATGATCAATAAATATTTGCTGAACGAAAGAACTCTTGCTTTCCAAGTTCCCAGGGCTCTGAACTGTAGAGATGAGGCTGGAATCTGTGTCTTCGGGCTCACAGATGAGCTCTTAACATTTTCAGCTGTTTAAATGTGTGAAGGTCGGGCGTGCGGTCTTGTGGGAGGAAGCAGATGATGAGCACGTCTGCTCATGTCAGATGACGATCAGGACCATGCAGAAATGCACAGAGAATAAGGGAGCGGGGTCAGGGAAGAGCCTTCTGCTACAATGGCTTTGAGCAGAGATCTGAGTAAAGTGAGGGAGCTACCCATGCAGGTAACTAGAAGAAGAATATTCTAGGCAGGGAGGACGGGAAGCACAAAGGCCCTGAGACAGGGGTGTGTTTGGTACATCTGAGGGACCAGGAGGAGGCCAGGATGGCTGAAGGATGAACCATTAATTTCTCCTTCCGTGCTGACTTTGAAATCTAAACCATGCCAAATAGCTTCCAACTGGAAACCACCCAACAGTCCACCAACAGCAGGACGCATGAACAAAATGGAATACACTATAAAGCAATAAAAGAACTAAGCTACACACAGCAACATGGACGAATCTCACCAAGTGGGGCAAACAAAGTGAGTCAGACGAGAGCACGCAGTTTGATCTCATTTATGAGAAGTTAAAATTAGGCAAAACTAAAGCTCATCTTTAAGGTGCACATATAGGTAAAGCTGGAGAGAAAGACAAGGAAATGAGTACCACAAAGGTCTACATGTGATCAGGAAGCAGATAAGGGGCTGGCAATAGCTATCTCTTACCCTGGGAGGCGGTTACAGGAGTCTCACTTATACTTGTTCTTTACACAGTACGGACTTTTGTATGTTTGTCGTCTGTGATATCACACACACAAACACAGGTTTTCAAAAGGTTGTTTTTTTTTAAGGCTAAGTAAGAAGTAATTCAGGACACTGTCAAACAGTTTAGGGGCTCTTTAAGACATACACACTGTCTTTGGATACACACTGTCTCACTAAAATTACTTTCTAAAGGTGCACAAAAGCATAGAGTGTGTGGTATATACTAAGCACGAAACAAATATTTATTAACCAGACTAAAAAGGACTTCACCCATTAACAGAATATACTATTTTACCCAACACTTAATCAGAATTTACTTTTTAAACAAAGGTGTAGTAATACAATCACTTCAAGATATCTAGAGAATAAAAGGTTTCAGGAAACCTAGATCACATGATGCATAAGAGAAAGAGAAACCTAGATCACATGATGTATAAGTTCTGGGGAACTTCCAATGTCACTAAGACTGACTAATGCAAGTCATAAAAAGAGAACAGGGATGCTGTGGTTTGCCTGGGAAGAAAACCTTTAAAAGTCATCCTTGTGACTTTTGAACAGTTGGTTTCCTGTACAGCACTCAGCTCCTACTATTGGGCCTGAGGCCCTGTTCAAGGAATAGCATCCACGGCCCTCTGGCCCTCCCCATCCCTCCTCTGTCTTTCAAGAAGGAAGAAGTGCCGAGCTTGGAAGGGGATTCTTTCAGCCCAGGGCACCTTCCTACAGTAATAGCCTTTTGTGCCCCTGTGTCTGGCCCCAGAGCTACCGGCGTTGCAAACTGCAGGTTTCTGCAGGGATGAGGTGAGCCAGCTCTTCCCAATCTGCTCAGAGACCTGGCTCCAAGAAACCCAACAGCATGTTGTGGGGGGAAAGTCAGGCCATCTGGGCCCCAGTCTGAGAGATGTCACTGACACTAACACATTCACCGACATTTTTTAAGAGCCCTTCCAACGGTAGAAGATGATTTGATCAGCATAAAGGTCATGTGAGTCCACGCTGAAATGGAAAACTCCACAAATGTAAAAGATTACTGTACTTCTAGAGCTGGTGGTGATCCCCTTTTAAATGTTACAAGCCCTCCCTTACGCCTATCCTTCTTTCCCACTGGCACCTGGTTTCGCCAGCCTCAATACAGGAAAAGGTGTTTCTTCAGAAAGTCTCATACTTCAAACACAATTTCTAGCACACAGCATATAAGCATCTAGTTACACACGTCTCTGTGTACCAGAAGGGCTCTACTCTTTCCACGGCATTGTAATATAACAGGATGTGAATCCCAGCTCAGCCATGTGTGCCTTAGAGCAAGATACTGAAGTTCTCTGTGCCTCAGTTTCTCTAACCACCCAGTGGGGATTACAGGCGTAATTACAGTCAACCCTCATTATTCACAGATTCTGTACTAGCAAATTCTCCCACGCACTAAGATTTACCTGTAACCCCAAAATCAATACTAGTGATGTTTTCGAGGTCATTCGTGAATATGCACAGAGCGTCACAAAATACAGAGCTGCCCAAGGCCACATGCTCAGCCAAGGTGAAACAGGCAACACATTGCCTTCCTGCTTCAGTTCTCAGACTGGAGACAGGTGTCCTTTTTGTGACCTATTCAGTGTCACTGTTTTGTTTTTGCTTTTTTGTTCTTTTTGTTGGTAATCTCACTCTTTAGAATGTCCCCCAAGCATAGTGCTAGTGCTGACATACATGTTAAACACATAGGCTTCGTTCAGACGTGAGATATAGTGCTATTGGCTGTGAGGTCAATATTAATGAATCAACATATTAAATAAGGTGTCTTTAAGCAGAAACACATAAAACAAGGTTGTATATTGATCAGCTGTCAGAAATCTAATCTTGCAATCAGCTTGCAGAAGCCTAACCCTATATGTCCTCTAGGAACAATGGTTCAATATTCACTAATTAAGTGTTCCAGGTGGCTTTATAGAACATAACTACCACAAACAACAAGTATCAGCTGTACCTGATAGGGTTAGGGTGAGGATTTCACTAACAGGTATAAAGCACTTACAACAGTGCCTCACACGCCATAAGCACTAAGTCCAACTTGCCAAAGATCAGGAGAACAAATTGTCAGAGATGCTCTCCTCCTCAGTCCAGTCTCTCTCCTATGCAGTGCTACCCAAACTAAACCATTTCTTCACAGCCTGTGGGCCGTGGAGGGAAATTCAATTCTGTTGAATTTGGCCCACATCCACAGGTGCAGATCAACTCCTCTTTAGAACAACCCCTTGTAAGGGCACAGAAACAATCATCTAGAGCAGGGGTCCTCGAACTTTTTAAACAGGGGGCCAGTTCACTGTCCCTCAGACCATTGGAGGGCCGGACTATAGTTTAAAAAAAATTATGAACAAATTCCTATGCACACTGCACATATTTTATTTTTAAGCAAAAAAACAAATGGGCAAAAACACCCGCATGTGGCCCTCAGGCCGCAGTTTGAGGACGCCTGCTCTAGAGCAAGCTGAGATTTTGTTTCACTTTTCCCTAATACGAATTCAGACACTAGAAAACCGAAACACTCATGTCTAGTCTCCATTCACTGCCCACAGATAAGAACATCAATTCTGTTATGAATGGCAGCTGCAGGTGGGCACTGAGACGAACAGGGGGCAAAATAGATTTGGAAACTCATGCTATGGTCCACTTGGGTGGCTTAAGAGAGTGCCACGAATAAAAACCCAGCCATGGTTGCTAATTCTTTCCATTTCTTCTTTTGCTTTTGAGCAACCAGACAGTCATGATGATGCTTATCAGTTAGTAACAGCCCATAAAAATTAAAGATTAACAATTATATGTCCTGAGGAAGTTCAAAGTAATTCTTGTGAAAGATGCTTTAGCGCATGACATGCACAGAGCAGCTGGCTCTTTCGCATTCTGATTTATTGCGGCAGCCCTGGGAAACTAATAATACATACCCTAAATGTTTCTTTTAATGAGTAACATGAAATCTTCGACCACGAAATCACTATTTTACAGACGAATGACCAATGATCTGGCCATTTCAAAACAATCCATTGCATTATTATCCTCTTCTCAATGCAGCCTGGCTTATTGCTGTTGTTCTGATCACTATTTACCCTAGTTGAGAAATGTGTAGGGAAGACTGGCATACAGAACCCCAAACCTTACAGAGATGCTCGATAAGGTGACTCTTACATGACTCAGGCCTAAAATTGGGATAAAGGAGAGAAAACAGTGAGTATACAACTCAAAGGCTGAATAAGACCTTTGGCTTTCTTTGGGATGGAGGGCTGCATTAGGGTCAGGCCTGTGTGCTTTCTCCAGGCCCAGACTTGTTCTTAAGCTTCCTGCATAAAAAATGCCCATGCAACTCTTTCCTGGTAAGGCAGCCCTGGGCAGCTGAAGAGTTGGACAGAAGGTCAGGATTCACTTTTCCTGGGTCTTCAGGCTCCTACCCGGTACTGCTGACAGCATCACCATGCCTGCATTCCATGGCAAGGCTAACATATTGTCAGCTGGCACAGTCCACAGGAAAAGGATGATGGAGCCTGGAACGGCCCTCCAAGATCATGATTAAAGCTGGATCTCCCCATTTTACAGAAGAAGAAACTAAAGTCCAAGGAAGTTAGTGTAAGGCTGGTGGCGGGCCCCCTCCCTTCCCTGGATCAAAAAGAGAAGACTCATGAGACCAGACCCGCCAAGGACAAAACTGTCAGGCCCTGCTGAGAGGATCCACACCCAGATGTCCACCTAGATAAGAATATTTTGGCTCCTGGATTCCACAAACACCTCCAGCCCCTCCTAAAATCCCCAGCTCTTCCCGCCAAAAGTCCCTAGCCAGGCCCAAAGGATATAAAAGGCCTCAGCCCCTTCAAACTGCGGCGACTTCCGGGGCCCCGCTCTTGGGGCCCCAGAACCTCGTCCACGAGTGTATAATAAAGCCACGTGGTTTGGCCCCCCACTCTTTCTCTTTCTGTGTCTCTTTTCTTCTCGCCACCGCCGAAAAACCTTACAGTTAGGAGACTTTTTGAGACAGGGTCTCACTCTGCTGCCCAGGCTGGAGTACAGTGGTGCAATCATAGCTCACTGCAGCCTTGAACTCCTGGGCTCACGTGATCCTCCTGCGTCAGCCTCCCCAGTAGTTGAAACAACAGGCATGTGCCATCACACCTAGCTATTTTTAAAAATTTTTTATAGAGACAAGGTCTCGCTTTGTTGCACAGACTAGTCTTGAACTTCTGGCCTCAAGCAATCCTCTTACCTTGGCCTACCAAAGTGCTAGGATTGTAGGTGTGAGCCACCCAACCCAGCCTGAATTACTTAAATTCTTTAAGCTCTGAGTTCCTCCTCTATAAATGGAGATAACTAACACCTATCTCAGTTGGTCATAGTGACTATTAAATGACAATGCATGTACAGCAATCTCACCTATTCAAGAGCCGACATGCAGTACGCACCATGATTCACTATAGAGGTCACCTCTGGTGGTGGCAGCAGGATGAAGCTCTGGAGGGGTATGTCAGGGCTCCACTCTGTTGTGAATATTTTCCTTCTTAAGGTGGGTGCTAGGTATATTGCTTTTGCTTTTTTATTCTTCATAATGTTTTGTTTAAATATATGTTTAAAAATGCACTCATAGGAAGCAATTAATAAATGAAGAGTTATTATAATTATTAATCAAAAAGTAGTTCTTATTCCATGCAAAGCACTGTGCTGGGCACCACAGGGAGAACTAAAGTGAGTAAGATTCCACCCCCTGCAATCCAGACTAGAACCTCTGGTCTCGCTGGGATTACAGCACCCACTTCTCACTGTAAGGCCAGGCAGGATGCAGTAAGTGACCTGAGGGGTAAAAAGAAAAGAAAAGAAACACCCTAACTTCTTAGACTTTCTAAGACTTCATCAGAAAGGTGGCAACTGGAACTAAGCAGAGTTTTTAAGGTGCGAGAAGTAAACAAAAAAGTGTCTCCACTAACAATTATGGCACCAGAGGAGAGACCAGCATGATTAGGTTGGTCACAGACAAAGCGACTAGAGAAGCCAGAATCTGAGAAGCCAGGGCAGAAGGAAATGGAAAGGAAAGGATGAATGGCCTGCACAGAGGTATTCCATGTCCACAGAGAAAACAACATCCAATTTCTTTCTCTTGTAATTTTCAAGAGAGCAATGTTCATGTAATTATACAAGGGGGCAGAAACCAGATTTCAGTGCCTAGCAAACAGTAAGAGCCTAATAACTACTCTCTTAATAAATGGATGCTACCTAAATGGGCTCACCCCCAGAAAGAGGTCAGCAATCCCTCAATCCCACCTCAAATGTAAGCTTTTAGAGCTGCGCTTCTCAAAAGGTGCCCCCAGACCAACTGCTGCAAAACCTCCTGGCGTATCTACTAAAATGCAGAGTCCTGGGACCCTCCCCAGATCCAGTGAGTCACAGTATTTGGGAAGGGGTTCCCAGAGCAGCATTTTAAGCAAGTGTACCAGGTGATTCTAGGGAAAAAAAAAAAAACATGGTGAAAAAGGAGGTGGGGTACAGTTGACTATTCCGTCAAAGATATTTGTTCATGACACAAAGAACAGCAGAGAACAGCAGTTGAAGGGCATGGCAATATCAAGATGGATTTTTAGTCAGGGTATTTACTCAGCAGATTTCTAGAGAAAGAAGAAAAAAAAAAAAAAAAAACTAGTGGGACAGAGAGAAAATACCCATGCAAATCAGAGAAGGCACAAGCATTCCCCTTCAGGTACAAGGTTCCCGAAAAAGCAGAAGGACCAAGGTCAAAGACATAAGCAGCATTATCAGACTAGCAAACAAGCTGAGAGAGACCAAGACCTGTTTTTCCTGAACTAACAAGAGTCCCTGGTGTGTTTTGGAAAAGGATTAGAGATGATCATGCACATAGAGGACAAATGTCGTCTCCCCTGACCCTATCTCGTCCCGGCACTATTGCCTTGGGGGGTAAAATAAAACTTGAAAACCATTCTTGTGGACAGTAAAGAATTTGGTTTGGGAAAAAGAGATGTATGAACAAAACTCTTTTATAGATTAAAACCTGACATAAAGAGCTGGGCACGGTGGCTCACGCCTGTAATCCTAGCACTTTGGGAGGCCAAGGTGGAAGGATCGCTCAAGGTCAGGAGTTTGAGACCAGCCTGAACAAGAGCGAGACCCCGTCTCTACTAAAAATAGAAAGAAATTATTTGGACAGCTAAAAATATATATAAAAAATTAGCCGGGCATGGTGGCACATGCCTGTAGTCCCAGCTAATCGGGAGGCTAAAGAGTAGGATAGCTTGAACCCAGGAGTTTGAGGTTGCTGAGAGCTAGGTTGACGCCACAGCACTCTAGCCCAGGCAATAGGGTGAGACCCTGACTCAAAAAAAAAAAAAAAAAAAAAAAAAAACTGACATAAAAGACAATAAATAAAAATAATAATTCAGTCCATCTGCCCATGTGATTTTACCACATCAAGATTTCAAAGCAGTCACTTTCAGTTGGCAGTTTCTAAAAAAAATTAAATATACAGTTACCATATGACCCAGCAATTCCTCGCCTAGGTATTTACCCCCGGGGAACTGAAAACAGACATCTACCCAGAAACCTATATGTACATGAATGATCAAAGCGGCACTATTCAATAATAGCCAAAAAGTGGAAACAACCCAAATGTCCATTAACTGATGAATGGATAAACAAAATGTGATGTATTCATACAATGGAATATTTATTACTCAGCCATAAAAATGAATGAAGTGCTGATACATGCTAAAACACAATGAACCTTGACAACATTATGCTAAGTGAAAGAAGCCAGACACAAAAGGCCACATATTGTAGGATTCCATTTATATATAATGTCCAGAATAGAGCTAGAAAGTAGATTAGCAGTTGCCTGGGCAGGAGGTTGGGGGAGTGGAAAGAGTGATTCCTAATGGGTATGTTGTTTCTTTTGGGGGTGATGAAAAATTAGACAGGTCACTAAGGTGGCTGCACACCTTTGTGAAGATACTAAAAACTACTGAATTGCATACTTTTGAAAAAATTAAAAATAAATTTTTTTAAAAGTTTCAAACTTGATCTTCAGATGATTGTGATAGGAAAGATCATGAAGGTACCTACACACATACACACACCACTGTTCCAAATATCCATTAATAAGCTGCTCTTCCCAAATATTATTATATTGAAATGGTGCCAGAATGCCACTAAACTACATGAGCCCAGTCCACTCATATTCACATGCTCAGAATAATAACAATGATAATCAATAACTAAAATTTATTGAGTATTTACTATGTGTCAGACACTATACTAAGCACTTTATATGTATTATCTCCTTTCATCTTTCACTGTAACCCTTTGAGGTATGTACTATTATCCCCATTTTACAGGTGAGGAAATTGAGGCACAAATAATTTTAATAACTATGCCAGGTCACCTAGTTGGGTGAACTGACTCATCCCAGGCAATCTGATTCATGAGCACTGTGCTATTCTGTTCCAACTGGCCCTGTCTTCCTAAAATCACTTGCAAAATTCACTGACTTACATTCACTGGATATAAGCCAAGACAGGAGACTGTCTAGATTTTAAAACAACCAAAACTATTAACTGAAATATCAATCCTGGACAGAAAACTGGAAATACCCAGGGCTCTGAGGATGAGACTAAGCTGAAGGCTGTACTTTGCTACTAAGAGCATTGACAAGTTGACAGTATAACTCAAGCATAAAATTCTGTATTGTTACCCACTACCTTTTAGACGAGGGATAATTTGGTTTCTTCCTGCCTATAATAATCCCACAAATCTAAGTGGGACTACCATCAGCAAAAGCAATCAAAAACATTGTGTATGTATGTATGACTGTTTATATACATATAATACAAGTGACATGCATGTTTATGCTCGTGTGCTCACTAAACAGTGAGAAGCAGATGGTAAATTCTAAGTTTTTTTAAAATCACAGGAGAGGCTAAGTGAAGTATCTCAGGAATGGAAAGCCAAACACCATATGTTCTCACTAATAAATGGAGCTAAAAGATGGGTACACATGGGCACGAAATGATGTAAAAGACACGAGAAACCAAGAATGAGAGAAGGCAACATGGTGGGTGTAGGATAAGACTCACCTATTGGGTACAATGAACACTATTCTGGTGACCGGCACACCAAATGCCCTGACTTCAGCATTATGCAAGATATTCAGGTAATAAAAACACTTGTACCCCTACCCCTTCAGTTAATAGTTTGAAATAAAAAAAAAAATCATAGGAGAGGATGATGAATAAGGGCAAAGTAATCAAAGAAGACTGCTTGAGAAGCCTTGAGAAACAGCATTTAGGAAGGGGCAGCAAGGATAAAGGTCACCACTTGAGGCAAGCTTGGAGGAAACAAGAGCAGATTGTTCCTACAGCAGCAAGGAGTGTGCAGTGTGTAATGTGCTGGAAAATAAGAGTGGACAGGCAGGAAGGGGTTACGTAAGATCTCCAAAGTCAAGGGAAGTGTTTGGACTTGATACAGTAAGAAAAGGTAAATCATTCTTCAGAAAAAGTTGAGAATATTCATAAGAAAGAAACCCTAGCTTCAGTATTTGTTTACCCAACCCTGGAATTCCACTTTATGTACTGTTTCCCAACCTCATTTTAAATATTCTGTTTCTGTCATACCGACCCGTGAGGCATAACCTAGTCAAACCTTAATTTCAGGAAACTCAAGATACAAAATCATTGCTTAAAATCACAGCCCTCAACACAACTGTATTTTATAGTCTCTTCATGCTAGCGTATTGCTTAATGAGCATTCGACTTCCTCACATAGCTTAACCTATAAGGAATCAACATATCCTCGTGGACAGGCTGTCCCCTGACAAAAGATGCTTTTTTCATGTGAAAAAGATTTCCTGTGCTCAGTCAGTGAAACGGGCTTCTTTTGGTCATAAAATTGAATGAGAAGTCTCCAACTTTTTTGCTGAGGGAAACAGAAATCCTGAGTCGCCTATTCCACAGTAATACACCAGCCCCTGCGGAAACTTCTCTCCCGTACTTCCCCGCCCAGGCGCTACACCTGAATTCTTGGCACTGTCCACAGGCACCCAACTGGGTCTCAGGTGCCACTGTGGATTTGCGCTTTGAGGCAAAAGTCTTTCCCAAGGAACAAACCCACGATGTCCTGTACGTAAGGGACCAAGAGGCTGGGCTGGCGCCTCAGTGTGCCCTTACAGCGAGCCCACCTCCCCGCCTCAGGCGGGCACACGGGTACCCGCACTCCGCGACGCGACGCCCGGCTGCGGCCAGGTGGCCCCAGCTCGCGCCCGGCGGCGCACCCACCTGACCAGGGGCTCCTTCTCAGGCACGGTGGGTTCCTCCAGGCACTTGCAGGGGCAGCAGCAGCACACGATCCTCAGCCAGTCCCTCAGCCCCATGGAGAGCGAGGGCCCCACCGGCGCCGCCGGGATCCTCGGAGCAAGCCGCCGCGGCGAGCGATCGCAGCTGGGGCGCGGCCACCGGGCCGGCGTCCAGGTGCGGGGACAGTGACGGCCCGGGCGTCGCCGGCCGGCCCGTGCGCATCCCGCTGTGGCCGGTGACGCGGGCGAGGGCTGCAGGCCGCGCGCCCTTCGCTTGCGTTTTGTTTTGGGGCTTGGGTTTTCCTGGGGCTTTTTCCCCCTCTTTTAATTCTCCGAGCGCAAATTGGGGCGCATGCGTCCCCGAGGCGCCCCGCTGCTGCCCTCTAAGGGGGAGGCGGGGACTCCAGCCAGACCGCAAAATCCCAGGGCACCCGCGGCTGGCAACGCGGCTGGCAACCCGGCTGGGGGCGGGCGGGGAGGGGAAAGCCCTCGGGCCACAGAGCACGAGGTCCGGCTGCATCCACTTACACCTTTTACGGGATTCACCGTGCAAGGAAATAAAAGGCCCTCCCCAACCTCCACACGCCTTCAAAGCAGGGTTTAAGGCGTATTTTTAACGTGTCAGCTTCACACAGAGTGAAAGCAAGAACATGGATTAAGGCGTTACAGAGGTGGGGTTATTTTTAAATAATATATTCACAATGATTTGAAAAATTGTTTTCAAACTTCTTGGTCCTTGACTAGCCCCCTCAAAAAAGGCAACCACTTGTGAATTTCCAGAGCTATTTATGTGTTTATTTATGTTTGTTTATATGGAGATGTATTTATTTGTGCTTATACAAACTTGTAAATATATGCAAACTTATAAATATAAAAAATATATCCTTTTTTACCCAAACAGTGGCATACCCCACACATTCTGCACCTGGCGTGTTTGACTCCGAATATCATGGAGGCTGTACCATATCAGCACCAGGGTATTCTCCTCTCTGCTTTCAACAGTTGCATGCCATGCAGTCTTGGGGATGCCCACGTGTCATCTAATGAGACCCCTACTGATGGACATTTAGGCCGACTGCAGCCTTTTGTTATTAAGATAATGCTGCCATGAACATCCTTGAACCAACATAGCTGGACGAATCTGCAAGAGACACTGAATAAATGCTTAGCAGTCGAATGCTGGGTCATGGCATTCCATTTTGATGGATCTTGCCAAATTGCTCTCCAAAGAGATAATCCCAACTTGTACTCTGACCTGCAAAATATGAAAGTATCGATTTCTCTATACCCTCACCAATATAAGGTGCGATCTAATTTTTTGTCTTTGCCAATCTGATTTATTCAACAAATATTTATTGAGTGCTTGTTCTGTAGCAGGCCTGTTCTGAGAGCTGGGGATACAGCAGTGAACAAAACAAACACAAATCCTTATTCTCGTGGAGCAAACATCCTAGTGGAACAGTTAGACCAAAAAAAAAAAAAGAAAACAAACAAACCTGAGTGTATTATTTAGTATGTGAGAAAATGCTATGTACTATGGAGAAAAATAAGGCAAGGGAGGGGATAAGAAGTGTCAGGAAGGGGTTTGTGTGTGTTGAGAGGGAGGGGAAGAATGGTGTCCGCACTTTTAAATGGTGTGGTCAGGAGATGGCCTCCCTAAGACTATGACATTCAAGCAAAGATTTGAAAGAGATGAGCAAGCTAGCCAGGATACCAGGGGAAGGCTATTTCAGATAGAGTGAAGATTATGTGGGAAACCACAGGGGAGAGAGAATAAACTATAGGGTGCCTGAGAAAGAATATGAACTCGAGGGGCCGTAGGGAGAAGGGGCCTGGGGAAAGAGTTGTCAGAGATAGTGGAATATGGGACCTTATAGGACGTTGCAAGGACTCTGGATTTTGCTCCACGTGAGCTGAGCAAACCTGTGGAGGTTTTTTAGTAGAGAGAGCGATATGGTCTGACCCAGATGGCAATAGGACCCACTGGCTGCTGTCTAGACAAGAAACTGGGCGCCAAAGGCTGTTTTAGGGCGATGCCTATGGAGTCCACTCTGATGAGCCAGGTAAGAAGTACAGTGGTTTGGACCAAGGTGGTGGCAGTTAAGATGGTAATAAATGGCTGGACTCTGGGTGGAATCTGATTGAAGGTAGAGCCAACAAGATTCGACCAAGCATCATAAGTAGGATGTGAAAGAAAGAAGGGAGTGACTTGAAGGTTTTGGGTTTAAACGCTGTGAAGGTTGAATCACCACTGACTGAGGTGGAGGGGTGTGGGAGGAGCAGATTTGCAGGGGTGAGGAGGGAGAGAGAGAGTTTATTTTCAGAAGTGTTGATCCTCATGGGCGGGGTATTATTTTTAAAAAGTGTGTCACTTGACATAAATGCGTCCTGCTCTGGCTACAGCATGAGGCTGAGGGGACGCATCAAGTTCATGTTCGCTGAGAGGCTACCGAGGGGTGAGGGGAAATAACAGAAGGTCCCCGTGGCCTCTGACTTAGCAGAGGAGACAGGATATGGATCCATCATGAAACATTAACAGGACGTGACAGAGCACCAGCTGTCACCAGACCGCACCATGTCATTTATCACTTGCAACTGGTGCCAGCATGGAGGCCGAGTGTTGTTGTAGAAGGCAAACTTCCCACTGGCTGTAAAATTTCCTTGGGTAGAAATGACTATGTTCTGAAATTGGATTTTGGGTTTTGAGTCAATCCACCTTAGCTTCAAGTAGAAAGTGGATAAAGAAGGCTGCTAAAATGTGAACTCAGCTAGCAACAGGACGAAATCTAGGGTCTGACAGCTACTATTAACTATTGGAGTTGGATCTGTTGAGAATGGAGAAAGTAGATAAAGTATTCAGCTCCTGGAAAATATAGGTACTCTGTCCAGTTACTAACTTGGATTTTCAGACAAGTCACTGAATTTTCCTGAACCTCAGTTTTTATAATCTGTGAAATGGTGATGACAAGTCTCGCCCTATTTGGCACAGTTCTGAGACTCAAGCGAGATAGTTTAAAAACAATAAAGCCCTGAAGAAATGTCAGAATTCAACACTATTGATCAAAAATCCAAATAATACAGGCCTGTTGGGAAAAATGTCTGTTCCAAAACTACTCAGCTTTCATATGGTAATATTTCTCTTTACATTTTTACCTCTGCAATGTGTGGGCATCTTTTATGTGGTCTGTTTTAGACAGAATATTTATAGAAAGCCATAGAACCATATCTATTTAACAAACTTGCCCTACCTTACTAAGGATCATGTCTAACAGTTATTAACAGTTATTCATGTTACTAACAGTTATTAATATTTTTCTTTTTAAATTAATTTTAAGTTTTAAAAACTTCTAAATAAAATGTTCCCCTAAAAATTGAAGTATTACAGTTCAAGTTCCCTCTGATGGCTAGCCACAATCCTAATGCCCTTTCTACCTTCTTGAGGGTAAATTTTATTATCAGTATGATACAAACCTTTTTCTGGACACATATACACATATGTGTCCCTGTGATGTAGTGTCATTGTGTGTTTTGTTATTATGGGTAATAAGTTTTATTTTATTTTCATCTTAAAGGTATACATGCACCTATGTGCAAGTGTTTTCCACGTATTGTCTTGGAGATCTATCCTTGTAAGTATGCATAGTACTACCTCATTCTTGTTAACTGATGTGAATATTCTTTTCATTCATTTTCTAGGGATTATATTAGTGTTTTTCATAGTGTTCATCTTCCCAGAAGGTGAATACCTTCATATTTCCCTGTCGAAAAGTTGGACCTTTGATAGGAATAATAACATGACCAAAGCCTCCCATTTCACATTCAAATGCGGTAGCTGAGCCCACGTTTTGGCAATCCCATTTACTATTTCTGACATTATTCACAGGAAAGCAGCGAGCTTCCCTTTTTTTAGAGTAGTGCTAGATGGTTTCTACTGCCTGAGTTGACACCAATACCGCCAACCACACAGCAGCATCTGACATTTCCCAAGAGCCCCTGGGCACCTGATGTCAGGGAGTAGGCAGTCCTCTGGGGCAACTAGTGACTCACGACCCATCAGCTGCTTGTTTTCAAGGCTGAACTGCTGGCTCCTATTTTCAGATTTCCCCATGGTAGGGAAAACCCTAGAGTCCAGTTTGAAAACAGCTAGTGTAGTTTGGAGTCCCCTCTCTTTAAGAATGTATTGACAACTTCTGAGAGTTGAAGGAAAAGCATATATCAGGGAGGGAAAATTAGAAAATAAAAATATTTAAGCTCTAATGCCAAATCATTAACACATTCCACTGAAAAAGCTATGCTTGGAGCAACATAGCATGAGCTGGGGTCATTCAACTATTAAGTCCACAAGTATTTATTGAGCCCAAGCACTGGGGATACAATGGTGAACTAGAATGTAGATTCCATTCATGAAGGCGGGGACTTTGTTTGGTCCTTTGCAATATCTACAACACCTAGAACACTGTAGACCCATAGTACAGACTCAATAGATAGAATGATATGCTGTACCATAACATCTAGAACAGTGCAGGGACATAGTGGGCACTTAATAAATGTGCTAAATAGATGTAAGAAAACAGGAAAAGAGCAACTTAGTGTTTGCGTGGAAGTTATGTTTAATTTCTGAAAGGTCTATTTATGAACTGCCCAAAGCCAGTAAAGAAAAGCTAAAGAGCACTGTCTTCCTTAGAGAAAACAGAGATCTTCTGAAACCACACCGACTTCAGCATCACCACTCACCCCAAGCAATCCAAGATGGAAAGCCAACATGCCCCACATCTCCAGAGAATTTGCACCAGGGAGTGGCATGACCAGTGTCACCAAAGTAAAAGCCAGCCAAGGGGCCCCATGGGGGTCTCTTATTTCTGCCTCTGCAGTATTCTTCACCCTGCCTTTTGGTAACTGTACTTTGCTTTCTTTTCAGGAACAGACCCCCCCCCACCCCTCCAATTCCATGGGTTGGCCATAACAATGAAGTCACCCCCACATCCCTTGCCCCCTAACCTACAACAAGGGATGGGCATAGTGACCAAGATGGGCCAATAGAACATTCTTTACACAATTTGCTTCTTAAGGGCAAGGACTCAAAGATGAAAAATGGTTGGAGTTGAAACATGAATTACTTTAGGGACAGGATCTTGAAGAACAGGCCCAACCACAAGTGCTGTCTAGATGCAACATCTAGAGCTTTCCTGCTCCTGCATTTCCCAAGGTCTAGTTGTTCTAGCTGCTTAGTTTTCCATCAGTCTGATACTCCATAACTTATCCATCAATACTGTTTTTTTCTTTTTTTGCTTAAGTTAACCAAGGTCAGATTCTGTTGCTTTCAGAACTAACCCCATACAGTCCAACTGAAGTGGGTTAAGAGGCAGGACAAGGGTAATTGTCACAAGAGAGCTATTCTTGAAAGAACACAAAATAACACAAC